CAGACGCTGTCCCGTCCGCAGCAGACTGCGGTGATGTCTGAGTTAGTGTTGCTGCTGCAGCGGCCCTTTGAGCAGGAACCGGAGGACGTGTCCCTGTCACGGGCGGCGTCGGAGGCAGAGCTCCTGCCTCTGCACTGGGCAAGAGCTCTGGGCCCCCAGCTGCTGCTGCCTGCGCTGTTTCCAGTGGCCCCGTCTTGGCAGCAGCAGCAGCTGGGAATGCAGAGGAACAACCGTGGTGAGACGTGGCTGATGCGGCTGGTCTGGGCTCATTCACTGCCCAGAATCCCCAGTGCAGCTCGCAGAGGTGGCTGTTTCAGCGGCCAAGGCCCCCGCCCTGACGCGAGCCAGCATTCTGCGGGTGGGAGCTCCCCCCACGAACTGAGAGGCGGACAGACTAGCAGCTATATCAACACATATGACTAGCACTTAAAGCTTACCTACAGAATTTGAAGAAAATTTGTTTAGCCTGTTCCCGTTTCTCTAGGGCCACAGTGTTCCTTGTATAATTGAGAAATAACTTTATTGAGCATGTGTACCAGGTGGTTGGGGCCATCTCATCCCAGCCCTGGCTCTGCTGAGGGGAAGGCCTCCAGTCGCCTGGTGAGGCTGTGTGTGTGTGTGTGGGGGGGGGGGGGTGAGCATGCCGGGCGCCCAGCTGCTGGCTTGGCGTGGGGGCCTTCTTCCCCCTCAGCTCTCCTTTCTACGAAAACAGGGCTTTTATTAGCTGTCTGTCTAGGAATCAAGATCCTTTCTGGGTTCAAAACGTGATAAGCTCCGTGATTATCTCCGTGTAGGATGCCACTTCCAGCACCACATGTTCTCATTTAAAACGCTGCCTTCACGGAGGCGTGGCGGGTGGCTCAGCGGGGTCTGGGCTGCCAGGTGCTCCCAGTGCCTCAGGCTCCAGGGCGGCTCCGCCTCCCCCACATGCCCAACATCACTGGCTGAGTCAAGAAGGAGGTTAACTCACCAGACTACTGACATTTACCCTTAGGTGTCAACATTTTTTTAGAAAGGAAATCTCTATGATTTGTCCTTCCAGTGGTGGAACATGGAGGTTTTATTTTATTTATTTTTAATTTTTTTCCTTTATTGATTTGAGAGAGGAAGGAAGTGGGAGAACATCGACTGGCCACCTCCTGCATGCTCCCCACTAGGGATCGGGCTCACAACCTGGGCATGTGCCCTGACCAGGGATCGAACCGGCAACCTCTTGGTGCAGGGTCCATGCTCAACCACTGAGCCCCACCAGCCAGATAGAACATGGAGGTTTTAAAAAAGGTTAATGTGTCCCTTTCACCTCGATGTATCTCTCTCTGTCCCTCTCCCTCCCACTCTATCTGAACAAAATATCGAAAAATGTCCTGGCGTGAGGATAAACAATAAATAAAATAAAAAAGTTTTTTTCTGTGTTCTTCTAATTTTCTATGATGATTAAAAAGCTTTTATAATGGAAAAATAATCTTATTTAAAAGGTCAGTTAGGCCCAGCTCATGTGGCTCAGTGGTTGAGCGTCGACCCTGCACCAAGAGGTCATCAATTTGTTTCTAGGTTGTGGACCTGATCCCAAGTGGGGGGCATGCAGGAGGTGGCCAGTCGATGTTCTCGCTCATCGATGTTTCTCTTTCTCTCCCTCTCCTTTCCTCTTTCTTTAAAAAATAAAGAAAAAAATGTAAATCTTAAAGAAAAAGGTATACACATTGAAAAAATGTTTCAATGTACCCATGACCACAGACTCCAAGTACTGGAAATAATTTTCCAGTTTGAGTTATTTAATACAATTAGTAGCTAAATAAATACATTATACATGTTGGTAGTTATTGAACAGAGAGTCCGAGGGGCACCCTTTCAGCTCCTTGTTGGGCACCTGGAGGTTTTCACAGGGGCAGTGCCAGGATGGGGGGTGGGGAGGGGGATGGCTATAAACCCTGCAACTGCGAGTCATCTGGACATGGAGTTGCTTTAGGAGAGTGCCTGGGAACCCTGGGCAGTCTCTGTAGCCAGATCTGAAACTGCTCGGCCAGCCTGTGTTCACCAGCAGGTGACTGCCCTGTGTGGGGCAGTGTCCACACCCTCCTGGGCTGGGGCCTGCCCAGTGTGTGCCCTGGTCACCGGGAGCCAGGGCCAGGACCAGGGCCGCAGGCTCAGCTGCCCCTCTGCCCTGCGGGTGGGGACACCGGCACCCTCTGCTCTGGCTGCTCCCCCGAACCCCAGAGCCCTCACTGCTCAGACTGCCCTCGGGCAAGAATCCGGCACCTGGGCACTAGAAGCAGACATTGGAAAGAGGGTCTTTCCCAAAGGCCCCTCCTCCCACCCAGGAGACAGGGTTTGCCTGTTTGGGGAGGAGGAGCTGTGATCTGTGGGGACAGTTTTCATTCTGCTTTGTTCAGCTAACTTTCCTGTTTGGCTGACTGGGGAGATCACCAGGATCGCATTCTTGGCCGGACCATAGAAGACTAGAGAAGATTCTCTTCTGACCTTGCACTGCCCCAGTGCTGGCCTAGTTTTTAATGTGGGGAGGGCGGGGGCAGCGGGGGCTGGTGACAGACAGGGTTGAGCTGAGCCCGGGATCTGTCATCTCCAGTCCCCCCACCTGAACGGAAGGAGGAATGGCCGTGACACTGTGAAGGGTTTGGAGACGCCAGGTGCAGCCCTGGGAGCACAAAGGCCCTGTGTTCCCTGGGGATCCGTGGGCAGGCCCCAGAGCCTGTGGGTTTGGGTTCCACTGGCCGCCTCCGCACATCCACATTCTCAATTTCCAAATGACAAGTCTGCCTGGGTGTGCCCATGAATTCCGACTCTCTCGTTTCTTTGCAGTGAAACACAAGATGGAGGAGGAGGAGCCGTAGCCAGGACCCTAGCCCCTACCCACCACTGGGCAACCTCTGAGCACCAGCGGCCCACGGCAAGCAAAATGTCCAAATCACGATCTTTCTTTAACCACCAGATTTGTGAACACAGAATCTTTTCCACCTAAGACAGAACCTGTTGCAAGCATCTTGAATGCAAATAGTTCTTGTTGGCTTGTCTTAACTTTCCCCGTCATCCCTGTTTCATCCTTCCGTCCACACGTTCCTCCAGTGCTTCCGGGGTATTCTCCCACACCACCCGCCTCTGGACTGCACCGCGGACTCTGGCTCCAGGTCACGTGCCCTGGTGACCAGTTTCCCACTTTGGCCACCTTTGCAAAGAGTCATATTTAAATTTAAGTCCTAAGCCCCTGCAGTAGGTTTTAAGTTTATCTGGTGAGTACTCTTCATAAAAGAGACGTTCTTGCCTGCGGTCATTCCCCAAGGAGACTGGCCCTTACCTTTTACAGCTCACCCAAGATGAGACACTTAAACCCAGAAAAGAGTAACAAGCGTTGTCAGCCCCAAAGTATAACAAACCCCTCATTTTACGGGCTGACCTACTGCCGTTGACGGATTCTCCCACTCGAGCCAGAGATGCAGCCGTGGTTGTAGTGGGTGGTTTGACAAGCTCCACGTGCCTTAAGTAAATAGCAAAGCCTTTATTTTTGTGTCAAGAACAGCATTATGAAAATAAAATCCATCTGCTGATGCGTTACCGCCTTTCCCATGCGTGACAGTCACAGTCGTGTAGTTCACACACTGATTGTCTGGGAATGTCTTTAATGGTTTTTTCTTATAAGTATACGACATTGAGCCAGGGGAGGATGGAAGCACATTGTAAAACACACATTAATACATTTAATAAATACACTTGATCTGTCAAAAGCACCTGCTGAGATCGGCCAAGCTGGCAGCGGCACCGCGTCAGCGGACTGTGCAAGCCGCACTCCCTCAGTGTGGGGCTCCGCCCGGCACTGGCCAGTCTGGGCCACCCGGCGCCTGCGTGGTCCAGTGGCCCTGACGGAACCGGGGCTGGGAGAACCAGACCCCAGGTTGCAGCCAGCGAACCCGAGGCCCTGGAGGGCCACACAGCTTTCTTGTCTCCTGGTTAATCTCCACCCCAGTTCCCTCCCCCACTTTGTCTCCAATGAAAAATCCGAACAGAATGACCATTTCCAGTCGGGGGCGGGGGGGACCAGAGTGGCTGTTACAGTCCCAAGGTGACTTTAATAAGTGGACGTGGAAAGAGTTGTGCTTACAATCAGGTATTTTTAACACAGATGCTCCCCTCCCAGTCTTCCCCAGCAAGTCTGTTGACATACACAGATCTCACACAGAGGGGCCGTATAAGTCTGTATTTAACTTTGTTCTTGGGGAGAGTCGGCTGCTACAGTCCCTTGGCAAAGATGTCTCTGTACCCTCCAGGTGAGGTCACTAGGAAATAACAGCTCTGCTCTGCCCCGTGGGGCACTCAGCTGCTCTTAGTCTAAAAGCACAATAAACATCAGAGGCTTGAAAACAAAAGAAAGAAAAAGGTTTCTTCACATGAGGTTCTCTATGACACAAGGCTGGTTCCACGTTCGTGGTGGTAAAACGTGACCTCCACCCACAGCCACCAATGCCAAGCTCACCTCACGCCTGGACCACCGGCACTCAGCAAACGGCTGTGGGAAGCACCCCCTTCTGCAAGGGGGCGCTCGCAGACCCAGTCACAGCTGGGACCAGGGAGCTCCGAAGGACTCCAGGGACCGGAGGCGAGCTGTCAGTTCCGGGCACAGGAACGTGCCATGCAGTCGGTTTTCACCGGCCTGGACACAGGTGTTCAAAGGTTTTTGTTTTGAGACTCTGGTGCATGCAACAGCCTCCACCCCATCCCAGGCCCTAGCTTCCTCCCTCCCACCCACGTGGCAGCCCACCTGCTGACGCTTCCGGCGGGGCTGCAGCAGACCCTCTAGAAGCCAGCACGTGCTCCGGGCAGGGCGGGCGGCACTCTGTGGCCTGCTGTCCCTTCCCCACGCGTGATGACGAAATGTGCTGGCAGGACAAACGCTAAGGAGGCCACACAGGGAGGCTGGTGGCCTTGCTACCCCAGCGCTCTGCGAGGACAGGGGAGGGCGGGCGAGGACAGGACACAGCGGACACTGGGCCTCGAGGAAAGTCAGAGGTTTATTAAAACATACTCAGTCAGACACACTAGCTTCTGAGAGGTCAGTGCCCTCAGCAAATACGAACCCTTTTCATTTTCTTTAAAAGGTTAAAGGCTTACGGGTTGTTTTATAGAAAAAGCGATACAGTGATTAGAGATGCTGAAGGCTCCCACCTGTTACATTCCGTGCTGTCAGGTTAGTGACTGTGCCGGCCCAACAGTGCAGGAGACATGGGGCTGTGCATGGCCGGCTGTCTGAAATGCCAAAGAACCGAGGAGTGACTGGCTGAGGACAAATGGAAACCATGACGGAAATAATGGGCTTTGAAGAGTCAAAACATCTCCATGGAGCTTGCAGAACACCAAGTGGGAAATGCACCCAGCCCTCCCCACGCAGCCAGAAGCCCCGAGTGCCCCCGCCGCCCGTCCACTGCAGCGGCTGAAGCCCAGCCCTCCCTGCAATGCTGGGTGGCAGTTCCCCCTTCCGAGGGCACCCTAGCAGGCCCTGCCGGGTGACGTCAGCTGGAAAAATGTACGGAGGCGCCCGCTGCCCACTGGCTGACCCAGACTTCCAGCGGGTGGCCCCACTGGAGCCCGTGAGATGAACCGGATAATCGGGGAGGACTGGTAAGTGTCCGCAGAGGCAATCAGGGAAGAAGACAGGGCTACCCCAAGCCAGAGTGTTGCTATGGCAACACCAGGGCACGAAGCGGCTTGCTTTCCTACATAGATGCTGGTTCAGGGGTCCACAGAACAGTGGCTGGTTACCACTTTCTGACTGTGACAGCCACGTCCACTCCCAGACGGCACCTCCTCTTTGGCACACGAGGGGGTCCCTCCACCACCCCCCCAGCTGTGCAGCTCGCCCAGGACTCCATCGGGCCTCTCCTTGGAGTCACACCTCAACCTCCTGAGCTGCTCCTGACCCCGTGGAATGTGCAGGCAGGTGGAAACCCCCCCCGTGGCCCCCCTTGATGAAGCAGTCATGTGCAAGCGGCCCCCTGGGCCAGGGAGGGAGGGCGAGGTGGGGGACCTCCGTATTCAACCCAGAGCGGCCTGGCGCCCTCTGCCCTCACGGCTGAGTCTTCCTGGCCATGTTTTCGAGCAAGCCTAACACTATTTGCAACGCACTTTGCTTTAGTTTGCGGGGACTGAGGTTGGTCTGGTAGTGTGTACGTGTATGTGTGCGCGCATGTGCATGTGCGTGTGTATATGTGTGCGTGTGCATGTGTGTGCATGTATGTGTGTGCATGTGTGCATGTGTGTGCGCGTGGGCAGGGAGGGCAGCCGGTGTTAGCTTTTCCGTTCCGCAGTGTCATTCACACAAATCCCCTCGTCTAGGATTTCCAAATCTCCTGGCTTCACAGGAAAGACAGCCAGGGAACAGAATCGTAAGAGTCCTCTGGGCCTGCGTGTCTTTCACCAGAGGTGTCTTCCAGTGTAGCTTGGTGGAGCAGTCGGGATCTGGAAACAAGGATAACACACTAAGAAGTCTGTGCTGTGCAAAGTCGACATCAGAACCAGTGTGGTAACAACCTGCCGGAAGTCAGTACCTGGCTCTTCCACAGGGGCTGCAGTTCCCCAAGAAGCTGCAGCCACGGGGTAGGCCATGAATTCTCGGGGACCGCCCCCTTGGTGGTCATGCACCCTGAACAACTGTTTGCTTACTCGGAAACCCACTTCATTTTCCAAGTCTAGGGTGTGTTTGTCTCGAAGGGACCAGGGGGACTTAAGAGGGACGACTGGGGCCACTTTCTAGTCCTATCAGTCATAACACACAGGTGCATGCTTGAGTTGGACTTTCCTTGGTGCCAACAATGAGACAGCCCAATGTACGGTGGGGGCTGCTGTCCTCTGTGAGCCTGTTCAAACCAACGCAGACCAAGGTCTAAGGGATCCACAAGCCAGGAAAACCCTGTTCCCTCTCGAGATCAAACACTGCCTCTGGTTTACATCGGAAACAAAAGCAGCCCGGGGAGAGTTATAGACTTGGCACGTCCCAGAAGGAACGCAGATCCAATTTACATGCGCAGACTGGCTCCCGCTCAGAAAGCGGGGCGGGCTGTGTGTGGAAGCAGCCAATGCCTGCGCCTCTGGACTGCGGGCCAGCGGAATGACGCCATCCATGCAGGCGACTGGAGATGCTGCGGCAGGTGTGTTTGGCATCAGCTAGTAACCCCGATGTGTTCATGGAGGAGGAAGGATCATGACTTCAACTTCTGGAGACAATTCTGAGGGAGCGGGAGTGAGGCCACCCGGTACCCAGCCAGGGCACGGAGATGGCAGGAGGACTAAGAGGGACCTAACCTAGGCTGGAGGCCAATAAAATGCGCCAGGGCTTCATCATTCTGGGCTTTTCCTGAAAGTCACCTCCCAGGGAGAGTAGGGTACCTTCTGTATAGTGAGACGCGAGAATTCACTGGGTACAAGAGCCCAGAAAACGGACCCTTTCCAGCGGGCCACAGGGCTCTGCGTACAGAAATGGGTGGGGACGAAAGCGTACACTCAGCTGCAGGGTGTCTCCTGGGCCCTGCCTTTGGGCCCGGACCTCTGCAGAGCGTGAGTCCCACACTGACTGCTCTACGGCTTCCGGCCGAAACGTCACCGCAGGATACTTACGGTCCCTCCGTTGAGCACGACGGCCATCTCGGTGGGCTGGTACACATTGCTTCTGAAGGGGGCGCTGGGCCTGCCGCCCACACTGCCTTTGCGGAACCCTGCTGTCCGGAGAGCTGGGGGCAACAGAGGCACCAGGAGAAAAGACGTTTGTTTACTTCCCGCACTGAACACGGAGCTCTGGGCACAGTCCCCGCCGCCTCCCGGCACAGCCCATTCCAAACAAGCCACAAAGGGGCTTTGTTCTCGGGCTCTCCTGGAGCCTGAGCCATCTCAGTGGGCAGGGAAGTCTGCAGGATCCGGCCTCCCCTCCTCCCAGTCCCAGGTCCCCCAGAAGGCCTCCTTGACAAAGGCCGCCTCACTCCAGAGCCCTTCATGTCCCTGCGACATCACACCATCAGCGCCGCTGCCCTTTCCACACTGGGGCAAGAACTGGACATCAGGGCGGGCGAGAGCCCGTCCCCCTGGAAGCAGCCTGGCTGCCCAGGCCTCCCACCAGCGGGGGGGCCTACTGCTCAGCAGGAAGGAGAGGGAGCTCCGAGGCCATGTGCAGGCGCTGTGCCCTCTGGAAGGCGGGGAAGTATGCTTCCTGCGGACTGGTCCTTCTAGAGACTCCCTCTCCACCTTTTCTATATATATAAAGAAAAACCTAATTACACTACAAGACGTGGAGAAAACACATGTGCACATTGCTAAGTGGGAGAAGCCGGCCTGTGAAAGCTGCATACTACACGATTCCAACCACAATATTCTGGACAAGGCGAACCTGTAGAGACAGTGAAAGAATTAGTGCCCAGCCGGTGTGGCTCAGTGGTTGAGCGCGGACCCATGCACCAAGGGGGAGCTGGTTCGATTCCCAGTCAGGACCCATGCCCAGATTGTGGGCCCGATCCCCAGTGTGGGACATGCAGGAGGCAGCCATTCAATGTTCTCTCTCATCCATGTTTCTATTTCTTTCTCCCTCTCCCTTCTTCTGTCTCTAAAAAAAATCAATTAAAAAAAAAAATTAGTACTTGCTGGGGGTGGGGGGCTGGTGGTGAGCTTGGTGGTGCTCAGGGCATCTCTGGGCAGTGAAGCTACTCTGCACAGTGACTATGATGGTGGGCAGACGACACCATGCACCTGTCCAAAACCACAGAACTGCAAACAGAGTGGCATCTAAGACGTAAATGATGGGCTTCGGTTAATAATAATGTATCAATATTAATTCATTAATTGCAACACTACTGTAACATGCAAACTATTGCCAACAGGGAAACTGGGGGAGAGGCTTGGGGGAAGTTCCTGTGTTTCCGGCTTCATTTTTCTTTAAGCCTAAAACTGCTCTAAAAAACAATCTATTAAAAAAAGTCTATTAAAAAGTAGTAAATTCATCCATCTGTTCCCCACTTCCATGTCTGAGTCTATTTTGTTCATCAGCTTATTTTGATCATTATATTCCACAAATAAATGAGATCATGTGGTATTTGTCTTTCTCTGATTGGTTTATTTTGCTCAGCATAATGCTCTCCTGATCCCTCCATGTCGTCTCAGAGGGTAAGAGGTCTCCCTTACAGCCTCATAGTGCTCCACCGTGTACAGGTGCCACAGCTGTTTTACCCACTCGGGCTGTTTCCAGATCAGAGGGAAGGTGGAGGGAGCAGGAAGAGATAAACTAAAGAACATATATGCACAAACCATGGACACAGACAATAGTGCGGTGAAGGCGGGGGTGGCGGAGGAAGCAAGGAGGAGGGGTCAGTGAGGGGGAAAAGGAGGGATATCTGTAATACTTCCAACACTAAAGATAAATTTTTAAAGAGTAGTAGCACTGTTTACAAATCCAGAGGAATTTCATCTCGGTGCATCATTACCTTCAGATTCGTGGAAGGCACCAACCTCACTTTGCGTCTCCTAAACGTTTTCCCTGAAGGCAGTTCTCATTTTGACTAAAATGTAGCAAGAGACTTTGAGAATTTTACAGATTCCTTGGGGCAGATACCAAAACCACCTTGGTGACACAGTAACCTTCACAGCATGCCACCAGGAGCCAGGTGGGGAGTCCAGCTACCCCACATTCCCTTCATGGTACTGCCCCGCTGTGAGGTGCCAGGGCCCAAGGGTCCCTCTCGGTAGTGGCTATTTGTGCTTCTCCCCTGGTAAACATCCCTTCCCCACATCCTAGGTCCCTGAGTGTTGGCTACATCTGCCTCTGCCCTGGCGTCCAGGTGGGCATGTAATTTAGGCCTGGCCAGTGAGGACATCACATCTCCCAGCCATGCTGATGGGTTCAGGGAGGGGCTATTGGGTCCTATCAGAGCTCACTCTGGAATTTCTGCTCAAGCATCCTGGGAAATGTTCCTCTTTCCTCCTAGGGCTCTGTGTAAGACTAGAGCTGCCATGATGCTAACAGAGTTAGAGATGGAGGGACCCGATCCTGTCACCTTGAGTGTCCTGGATCTAACCATTCCTGAAGCCTAATCCCTAGTACATTCGTTTGTGGTGGTTATTGTCATTTTGTTTTGCTTAAGCGGATTCAAATCAGATTTTCATTACTTGCAACTTCAAGAATCCCAGCTAACACTCCACTCGGACCTGGGTCAACTTTGAAAGGCAAGCAGGGCTCACCCATAAGAGGGTCCCCCGGGAATCAAAGATTATAGGTTGAGTGCCAGCTGTCCCCTGTCTAGACTCTGTGAGTGAGGCTGGATTGGCCCTGGCCCCAAGGCTGACTCAGGGCCTTCCGCTGGGAAGCTAGGGGTCAGAATTTAAATGGCCCTTGGCCCTGATGAGATCTGAGAGCCCAAACCCCTAACAGAGGACAGAGCTCGTTTGTTCTCTCCTTGGAAAGGTGAGCATTGAAGGTGCCTTGTTCATGCGCTCTGAGCTGTGGTCTGAGGTGTTAAATCCTTGAGTGTATTTTAATCTTTTCACTCACATACCTCATGCCTTGTTGATACTTATTAATAAGTAAGGTGGTGAAGTCATATATATCAGGGACCTCATTCTGGGGACAAAAATTAGGAAGCAGAGGCCGCTGGACGTGGCTGAGCCCCAGCACCTGGGGATGCCCTCCTGCCTCCGAAACAGTCTGGCAGACCTTCTGGGCAGGAGCACGAGAGGCTGCTGGTTGGAGCACAAGGAAGCTGGACTACTGCAGCTGGGGGCAAGGACCGCTGTGGGCCCTGTTCCCTGAAGGACAAGCCGGCTGCGGTCAGCACCACAGAGGACAGCTGTTCTCACGGGGGGCTGTGCCCGGGCTCATGGGCTGGCAGGGCACGGGTCCTAGAACCGAGGCGGTCCCCGGCCCGAAGCTTTCTGAGGGAACAGGCTAGGCTGGGGCCGGCCCTGCCTGGTCCCGGTGCCTCGTGAAAGAGAGACATTTGGGGTGATGCAAAGCACATCTATTAAAAAAGTCTGACAATGCCTGAGGTTGGTGAAGAACGGGGGAAGTGGGGCTCTCACACAGTGATGAAAGGGACAGTACATTAGCCCACCCTTCGGGGGCTGTCTAGCAGATTCTCAGGTGCACCTTTAGATGCGGGCCAGGAATTCTTTGTTCTTTCTTCTTTTTCTGGCAAGGAGTCAGTTAATCTAGGGCACAGAGATGAGTGGTAAGAAGTTGATTTCAACTAACTGATGGTTGCCAGATGGGAAGGGGTGGGGCTTGTGCAAAGGGGATTAGGAAGTACAGATGGGCAGTTACAGAACAGTCATGAGGGCGTCAAGTGCAACGTAAGGGACATGGTCAGTGATAAATGTGATGACTGTGCATGGTGCCAGGTGGGAGTACACTTATCGGGGGGGTCACTTCATAAGTTATGTAAGTGTCTAACCACTAATAGGATACTGAGTGTCATCTGCAAATGAAAATTTTAGGAAATGGAAATGTTCACTGCAGTATGACTTTACATAGAAAGCCAGAAGCAAGAGGAGTCTTTGCTGAGGATCAGAAACCGGAGCCCTGGAGCCTGAGGGAAAGGTCTGCTTGCACCTGCGAAGGTCCCAGCTCTGCAGTTGGTGCACGGGAAGCCGAGCCGTGCTGCAGATGGAGCCAGCACCGGGCACAACACCCAGCGCCTCAGCCTGCGCACATCTTGGTCTGTTGGAGAGCTTGAACGGTACCTAAACCCAGACACTTACCAGAAGGGGCAGGCACTGGTGACTGCTTAAGCTGTTCAAGTGATTTGTATGTGCAGCTAAGGACAGCTCTATGGGATTGTTTGTGTGTGTGTGTGTGTGTGTGTGTGTGAGAGAGAGAGAGAGAGAGAGAGAGAGCACCTCCTATATGATTATTATTGACTTTTTGTCATCAGAAAGGAATAATAAAGCTATTTTTGTTTTGGAAAGAAAACGGGACTAAAAGACAAGTTACTTGGTTTTGGTACATGCCAGGGTTTGAAACAGATGTGAGTGGGGGCCTCTCCAGAATCCCATCCCCCTGAGCACTCCTGGTACCAACCTGGACCCCAGTTCCCCTTGACCTCTGGGTCGTATGCGGATATGATGTACTGGCTGCATTTTCACAGGAAAGGATGCAAGTAGGGGGAGCCAGAAAACCAGACCCTCCCCACTCTGCTGTGCCACACAGCGTGGAGTTGAACCAGCTGCCTCAGTTTCCTGCTCTATAAAATGGGACCGATGACCCATCTCAGTGCACAGAGCTGTCCTGACACATCAGTGTCATGAGGAATGCCACTGTGCTTGCAGGAGAGCAGTAATGGCAGAGTTCAAGCAGGGGTTCTGGAGCCAGCCAGCCCAGCCGGGTCCACCCCAGCTCTGCCTCAGCTTCCGGTCCACACAATGGACCTCGCTGGGTACCTGCAGGCATTAAATGAGACCAGCTACTAAAACGCACAGACTGGAGCCTGGTCCATGGTCAGCATGCAGTGAAGGGTGGTCACCCCCACTGTTGAAGACCTCAGTCCTCGGGTAGCTCTGGCATCCCCGTTTCACTGCAGGGAAACTAGACCATCAAGTGCTCAGCTTTTTGGGGGTAACAGAGCTTTGAGGACCTGACAAAGTGACAGGCCCATCCCCAGTGAATGCACAAATATCCACATCCATCTCAGGCAGTGCCCTTACCCTGAGGTTCCGGGCGTCCAAGGGCAGGAGCCTGTTCCAGGAGGAGCCAAGTAAGAGGTGGCTCCCCAAGGACTGGGCCAGGCTCCTAGCCTCTGCACAGTCTCCCTGAAGGGCCCTCTGGGTGCTCAGAGATATCCCCATCCTGACCTCCCGAGTCAGCCACCTGTACTAGTCTCAGGCTCTGCTCCCAGGAGACCCAACCAGGATACCTGTCCAACATGCCAGGTACCGTGGGAGCCCAGCACCTCGCACTCCGCTGCTTCTCACTGCAGCTCCATGAGCACAGCTTCTTTACAGGTGAGGGAAACTGCTAAGCCGCACACCTAGAAGTGCAGAAGCAGTGTCTGAACCCAGACAGCTGACGTGGGGGCTCGAGGCAGGGGCGGGCACGCCAGCATCCTCTGCGCCCTCTGTACAGGGGCCGCAGAAGCAGACGCTCCCGGGACCAGGCGACGACGCTGACACGTCCCAGGGCCTGGGCTGGGGGAAGCGGGGCTTCAGACTGCGATTCGCAGAGGGCCTTCCCCCCTCCAGCGGCACGCACTGCCACGAGCTGGGAATGGTGGCCAGGCATGGCTGGATCCTACTTCTCAAAAGGAGCTAGAAACCTGCATTTCTATATTAAATTAGTTGGCAATTTATAGGAAAAGTAATTCTAAATAAAAATCCATCTCTGGGCCGGTTTCCACACAGGGTCAGCATTCACAGGCTCCGTCTGCCAGGACGGCCCCTGGACCACGGACCCCAGCAGAGGGAAAGGAGGGAGCCCCCTCAGGACACGGCCCTGGCCCTGACCCGGCGGGCAGACAGCAGAGTACCTGCGTTGTGCTCATCCATGGAGAAGGCTTTGTTCTCCATGTAGGTCCGCGGCAGCTGCACATCCTCTTCGAAGGCCGTCTCCCGCATCCTGGGCTGCGGAGTGTCGAAGTAGTTGGGCGCGTTCTCCTGCGGGGCGGGCAGGATGGTGCAGTGGATCTCGGGGATGGCGTGGAAGATGATGAAGACCCAGCCGCTGGCCACCAGGGTGATGGCCAAGGTGGGGTCTCCCCAGGCGTCTCCCTGCTGCAGCTCGGCGTTGCCGAAAAGATACATGGTCATCCATGCCACCCAGATGAGCACAGACAGGAAGGCCGTGGCCAGGAGGCAGGCCCCGTTCTGCTTCCACTTCTTGAACTTGCCGCACAGCGTGAAGAGGGCCAGCCCCAGGGCGGCCGCCAGCAGCACCATGTCGTAGATGAGGGCCATGGCGAAGTCCATGGGGGCGTAGGCGCAGGGCGGCTTGGCGTCCCGCAGCACGGTCAGCACCAGCCACTCCGTGGCGATGATCACCTGCACCAGCACCAGGCACAGCGCCACGCCCACCAGCTGCCAGCCCGAGGGGCCCTTGCCGTGCCGCACCAGCCTCTGCACGCGCCACGCCTGGCTCAGCAGACACGAGAAGCAGAGTGCGAAGAGGACACCCCAGAGGAACCGGCGGACCAAACATATCGTCTCGTCCTCCCGGATGATGAAGGCGAACGTCAGCCCAAACAGGCCAAGTGTCCCCAGGAGGAACAGGAAGTGGAGGCCCACAGGGCCCTTCTTCTCCTTGTCCTTGATGAACGGCAGCCGCACCAGGAGGATGAGCTTCAGGAGCAGTGTGATCAGGGCGCCTGCCCCAGCCACCGCCTCCACCACGATGCCCCAGATGGTGTCCAGGTCGCACAGGGACACGTACTGAGGGAGAAGGTCCAGCCCGCAGCCCCGGGAGGTGCTGGAGTTCTCAGAGGCCCCAGAGGCGACCACGAAGAGCAGAAGAAAGGCAAGTGCTTGGTGGGTTCTCATCTTTCTCTGACACCGTGAACATTCCAGAAAAGTTGGGGGGTAGTGGGGAAAAAAAGATCAATTCATCATAAGTCTCCCACTCTCCTGACTCCTCCACCTCATTTCAAACCCGTCAGCCCACAGCGGCCCCTGGACGTGCAGGGGAAGGCACAGGTCAGGGAGCACGGCCGGCATGGCGGGTGGGAGGCAGTGGCTGTGGCTGCCATCTGCACCCTCGGTCAGGCCCAGGGAACAGCCCTGACTCATCACTAGTGGCTGGAGGAGAGGCTGAGAGGGAGACAAGCTTGCTCTGAGTACCTTTCATATTCTTCGACTTTGAGGACATATCTGACCTCCAAAAATAAGGGAGTGAAATGAAACTTTAAGAGATAACCACAGGCCAAGGCCGTGCTGGGAGAAGGGCAGGCATCGCCGGCTCAGCATCTCAGTGGTAACAGCCAGCACTGCCGATGACTCAGTCCAGGCAGACGCGCACCACATCCAGCCAGCCCTCACCCTGCGACAGGACGGCCTCCAGGAGCTGAGGGCACGCAGCCCAGCACCTGGAAGCCGTCCTGCTTTCCGAACGTAGTGCCGCGCACCCAAAATGAACTGTCTTCCTCGTTCCACCCTGAGTTCTCACACACCTCGCCTCCCTCCTAAGGCTGCCAAGGAATCCACCCTCCGACCCCAGGCCAGCCCCTCTCCCGGGGATGCCGCAGGTGCTCCTTGGCACACTGGTCCCTGTGCAAGCTGGGGCCCAGCAGCAGCCATGTGACAGCCTTCCCCACGCCTCCCTCCCTCCTGAGCCCTCTGCTAGGCTGCCCCTCTGACCCCGGCATGGACACTGGTCCTCCCCTGCTGGTCTCAGCTCTAACATCATCCACTCAGACCTGGGCCAAGGTCACCCTCCCCGTCCTCTCCGCCAGAGCCTCCTCCCTATTTCTTGGCCATCTCAGTCACCTTTGTGCCTGTTTACTTTGTTTCTCCTGTCCCTCTCTCCTGTCCTCCCTTCCTGTCTTTCTCCTTGGCTAGCTGTCTGTCCTGCACATCACCATAGACAGGGCTTCTCAATCTTGAAACTACTGGCATTTAGCGCCTGTTACTGATAACAGCTCACTGTTGTGGACTGTCCTGGGCACTGTAGTATGTTCAGCAGCCTCACTGGCCTCCACCAACTAGATGCCCACAGCAACCCACTCCCCAAATTGTGACAACCCCTAAGACCTTTGGACACTGAAAAATGACTGCTGGCACAGAGCGGGTGCCCAGTGAAACCGGGGCCACCAGGACTCCTCCCTCCACCCACCACCATAGCTGCAGGTTCCGAAGGGGGCTTCGCCCCCAGACAGCCCCCACTGCACGGCTCTGCTCCGGTGTCCTTTCTAAGCATCTCCCGCCAACTACTGCCTTGGCTCCACCCACGAGTGGGGCTGTAACCAGCCACTTCCAGGCAGCCCCAGACGGTCCCTGGGGCTTCCCTAAGTAAATGTGGTATCGACCACCTCTGGATCCTCTGCAGGATCCTGTGACAGCTCCCATCCTGCCTTGGCTGTGAGACCACTGCCCGGGACGAGGTGCTGATGTCTCCGACCAAGGAGGAGCCTGGGGCTGTGGGGCTGTTGCCTTTGCCTACAGACGAGAGAAAGCAGGCCAGCAAGGGAGGGCAGCTGGAGATGTTCTCACACAGCATCCCACTCAGGAAGATTAGGGGTGAGGATGCACCCCAGAGGAGGGGACCTGGCCCGCTGCCCGCCACCGCTTGTGGCCCTGCCACGCCCATCACTGGAGAGCCACCTCAGCCCCTCCAGCCTTCTTCACACCACCTGTGCGGTTATTTACTTAACTGACTCATGGAGCCCTCGAAATTGGCTAATTTAAGAGAAAACAACCCAGCCCTGGCTGGTTGGGCTCAGTGGTTAGAGCGTCAGCCTGCGGACCAGAGAGTTCCGGGTTCGGTTCCCGCTAAGGGCACGTACCTCGGTTGCAGTTTGTCCCCGGCCCTGGTTGGTCGTGCGGGAGGCAGCCACTCGATGTGTCCCTTTCACGTCAATGTTTCTCTCTCTCTCTCTTCCTCTCTCTCCCTCCCACTCTATCTGAACAAAAAAATGGAAAAATGTCGAGTGAGGATAAAAAAAAAATTTAAAAGAAAACAACCCACTGAAATGCTTCCCTCTGAAAGGCTGAATCGCTTGTCGATTAACCCGCATGGCACACACAGTGGCTTATCCCCCGTGCCTGCCTCTGGAGAAACGCTGTCCTGGCCACAGCCGCTTCCCACAGGCCCTTCGAGCACACTGGGAACAGAAATGTAGTAAGTGGCTGTCAGCACCAAGTGCCACCCTCCGGACACGCAGAGGCTGGAGGAGTTCCCCAGACGGCGCTGGACACATCCCGCGTGCCTCTCTGGGTCACAGGGCGGCCAGACGTGTCCCCAGAGTGGCTGAAAGATGAGGGGCAGGAGCATGCTTCTGGAGTCCTGACCCCAGTCCTCCCCACTCACCCCCTAAGCCAGCGGTTCTTAATCAGGGGTGACTTTGACCCCAGGGAACATCTGGCCATGTCCGGGACATTTTCGGTTGAGGGGGGGTTGCAACTGTCATCTAGTGGGTGGAAGCCAGGGCTGAACAGCGGACAGTGCACAGGATGCCCTCCTGCCCGCCCCGCACTCCCTGCCCAAACCAAGAATGTCGGTAGTTCCGAGGCTGAGGAAACAGGCCACGTGAGATGGGGGCTGATGGGGATGCCAGGTAGCCAACCAGGCCGCTCAGCCTCAGGCCTGCATCTCGTGTCCCTTCCTTCCGAGAACTGGGCCTTCCTCAGCTGCACCCCTCACTCTCTTGGGGACCTCGCTTTTCTCCAGGCCTGGCCACAAAGGAAGACTTGGCTCCCCAGCTCCTCTGCCCTCCTGAATGGCCTTCCAGCCACAAGAACCCAGCGGGGATGATGTGGAAACCCAGGTGGTGCCCGGGCGTCCGAACAGGAGCAGTGCTCTGGCGCTGGGCCAGGTCTGCAGCTCCCTCTCCCTCTGACGTGGTGAGGGGGCACATCCTTGGTCCTGCCCTCATTCCGGAGGGTGGAACCTCGCTTTCCAGGACAGCTGTCGTCCAGCGTCCATTTCTCCCATTTTTGAAAACAGCCTCAGTGTTCCTTCGAAGACCCACCTCAAGCCCTAGCTCTGATCAGCTGACCCAGGCCTGGCCAATCAGAACATTCATTCTACCCTTAGCCACACTGACTGACTCATGGACAGGCCCGAGCCCCACAAGATCCATGATGGGGTCGTCAGCCTTAGAATATTTGCTTGAAGTAACTGGAAAGAGGTCGTCTAAGCTAAAAGGATGTAGGCCTGGAGCTAGCGAGGACGCACTGTCCTAGGAGGAGAGCCCGTCCGAGAGTAAAGCTTACCCAAGGAGAGGGCCAAGCCCTCACACACTGAGCGGCTGGGTTTGACCGTGCCTGAAGCCGGGAGCCCTGTGTTTGCAGTCTAGCAGCCAATTAGCTTCCCTGTTATAAATTAAGCCAGGTTGAGCTGGTTTGTGTTACTTGCCAAAAGAGAAGTTCTATTATCCCTCCAACGTCAGGTGACCCCCTTCTTCCAGGAAGTACTCCACACCCACATCTAGGCAGCCAGGGGTGAGTAGGGTCCACCTGTCTCAAGTGGGTCTTTATCATTGCCAAGGATGCCCATGAGGCGACAGCCACCCTGCTCCATAGAACAGTGTCCAGGACAGCCAGGGTGAGGCCGAGCGCAGCTCATCTGGGATCTATGGGGGCTTCAGAATCATCCTGCAGAGCTTCCTCTCCTGCCGCAGTGACAGTAACACGGCCCCTCACCCTTACGGTGCTCCTAGAACTCGTCTCTGCACGTCCAGGTATACGCCCGTACAATCTGCACAAGGAGCCACGAAGCCAGTCCGGCCGCAGCCCCACGGTACAGGAGGCGCAGCGGGGAGTCCGCGGGGAGTCCGCAGCTGGCAAGCAGCGCAGCGAGGAGACAGGCCTGTGCTGTCGCTGGGCTCTCCCTGCAGACCCAGCTCTCGTCCCCTGTGAGCCCTTCCCTGGCCAGTCTGCCGGAATTGGTCTCTCCACACCCCTATTAGGCTCTGTGTCAGTACTTCTGATCTCTGTCTCCGCTGCAAATGCCACAATTTTCAATTATGTTATTTTATCACTCCTTTGATCTGCCCCCGCCTCCTCCCTCAGCCCTGTCTGTCTCTCCTGCACAGACTCCCCAGGGCCTGGTACATGGACAAAGCTCATGACGTGCTGAATGAATGAATGGCTAATATGGTCTCCAGCCCGCCTGCCCCTCAGGGCAGATGTTCTCACTGCCATCATACAGAGCAGGGGACTGAGGTCTCAGAGGCTTCGGTCAAAGTTTTGCCCTTGGATAGGCAACAGCAGCAGCAGCACCCAGGAACCTGTTAGAATACAAGCTCTCAGGGAGGGGGCCCAGCACCCCAACAAGCCCCAAGGGTGTACAGGTGCTGGGGCACCCTATGTGGAGGAGCTTGCATAGGCAGCAGCGGTCGGGACACCCCGAGGCCGGGCAGGTGGTGCCCACGGTCAGGGCCACCCGCCCTGCTGCACTGGCCCCTGGCGCCTCCCACCATGCAGGGCAGGCAGCGCTCCAGGAACCCCAGCTGAGCGGCTAGGGAAGGTGGGTGGGGCAGGAGGAATATATAGCAACAAACTCGGGGGTGGAAGCGTGCAGCTCCTCAAAGGAAGACTGAATAACTGTGAAGGAATGTGCCAGACTCGGTCACAGTGCTAATCACTAGCTGCCAGCCAGGCTCCCAGAATTGTGACTCGTTCCGCACTGATGCTCCCCAGTGCCCTGCACCCCTCCACACACACACACTCTCACCCTCCCCCTGAAGGCGGCCGGAGCTGCCAGCAGGCTTCCTCCCCGAGAGCAGGCCTGTGAGGCCGGAAAGTAGCCATCAGGGTCCTCGTGCAGGACGGGGCGCCCTGCCTAAAGGTCACACATGGGCCGGCTCCCCACCCCCTCTCTGTGCCTTTCCGTTCCGAGTCCCACTCCTGCCACTTGCTAGCAGCCCATGACCTTGGGCAGCTGATCTAACCTTTCTTGCCTCACTTTCCTCATCTGCAAAATGGGGGTGACAATAGTACCCACGGAGCATGGCTCTGTGAGAATTAAAACAATAATTAGGGTTCAGGATAGTAGTTAATGTAGGGTGAGCACTTACATAAGTGTCTGTTCAATAAAGAGAAAAGACTGGCAAAGGCTCCCTGACCTGAAGCTGTGAACTTTTCTGATGGCTTCTTTAGGAGAGGCGGTGGCCACGGAGACGGAGTTGGAAGTGGGGTCACCCAGGTGTGTGTCCCCCACTGGTCTCCAGCCGCCCCCATCGCACACCAAGCAAAGAGGGCCTGAGGTGGCCTGAAAGGAGACACCAGGGCAGGGTGATCTGCCCTGGGAATCTCCAGACTCTACTGAGAACCTCACTCAGGGTGATTTTCCCTAGTGGAGCCCAGGTTGGAGGATCCAAGGCCAGCCTGGGTGCCCTAAAACTAGGTGTCTCTGACGAGGAGCCAGAGCCAGGACACCCAGAGACAAAGCATGAGCCTTGCTCTGGGAACCAGCTCCCCCATCCTGCCCTTCATATGAAAGGTTACAGACCTGCTCTGGACACCCTGACCAGTTCACCTGTGCTCCCAGGAGGCCACTCACCTTCCACCGAGGGTCCCTGCCAGTGCCCAGCAGCTCAGAGGCCTCTGACACCCACCTTCTCTAAAGATGGGGTGGCCCTGGTACATGGGAAGGGAAGAAACACTAGCAGGTGGGGAGGGGCTGTAGTTTAGCACCCACAGAAGAGCTGGCACAGAGTGAACACTCCACTAGTCCCCTCGGGAGTTCGGGGCTGGGCCCCACTGAACCAGGTGCAAAGTGAAGATAATAACCACAGTGCCTCCTGCACAAGGCTGAGGTGACAAGTACATGAAAAGTACCCAGTGAGGGCCTGGCACACAGAGTAGAGGGTTCCTGCCTGTTGAAAAGACAGCCATGCCCTGGCTCATTTGGCTCATTGGTTAGAGCGTCAGCCAGAGGACCGAAGAGTCTCAGGTTCAATTCCCATTTACCTCAGTGGCAGGTTGGATCCTTGGCCCCTGTCAGGGTCATGCAGTAGGCAACCAATCAATGTCTCTCTCACATCGATGTTCCTCTTCCTCTCTCTCTCTCAAAACCAATGGAAAAATATTCTCCGGTGAGGATTTAAAAAGAAAAAAAGATGATCATGGTTCCCAATAGGAAAATGAAGGCAAAGGTGAGACAGCTTGGCCAGCTGCTCAGTGGGACTAGAACCCATTTCTCCCCAATTGTGACCTCACGGCCTTTCTGCTGTGCCCCTGGTTTGACCACCCTGGTGTCTGGCAGGGGCCCAGGAGGAGGCTTTGGAGCCAGCCTCCTCCCAGCACCGCACTCAGTCCCAGCTCACCCCCCTCATAGCCACTGGTCATTTCAGGCTTGGACAGGGTTAAACTCTCAACAGTTTCCTGCATTAAGCTCTTTCCTAGAGGCACAATCTCACCTCTAGGTTTTCAAGTTCCACTATTTTATCATCCCCATTTCCCAACTGCCCAGACCACCAACCAGTTGGGGGCACTCAGATGTAACAATCCTCAGAGGTCAGTAAACAGGGTTGCCAGAGCACAAGCTCTTTGCTCATGAATATGCAGAGCAGCTCTGTCCTGTAAATAAAAGCCATCATTTAAATGCAAATTGCATCCCTGGTGGCTCAGCAGAGCTGGACGGTTCCTCAAGGGCTGTAATTCCAAGAAGAAAATGTGAGGACCTCAGAACCCCTAGGAAGCTGTGTGGAAGTGTTTATGGGGCCATGGGCTGTGGGTGAGGGCTCCTTAGGGTGGACAAGAACTGCTTAAAAGTGGGGGGTGCCTTTTAAAACCCGGTGCACTCCTTGAGTGCACTTACAGGGCTGGCCAGGTTCAAAGTGGTCCCCCCACAGGCTGCGGCCTGCACAAGGGGCCTGGACAAGGACCTCCGGTGCCTTGCTATCCCCGGAGGCAAAATGAAAGAGAGGCTGCTTTCCGTGTCCTTGTTGAGGTTAGAGGAGCTTTTAGAAATCAGATCCCGTGGCTTCCCACTCAAACCCTTGAAGGGGTTGCTCAGGGAGAATAAAACCTAAACTCCTCGCGGTGGCCCAAAAGATCTAGGTCTGGCTGGTCCGCGGGCCGTGCACAGCTGCCTGGGAGCTCCAGCCACCAGGGTCTTTGTTCGGGCCCTCCAACTTCATTCCCACCTCCGAGCCTCTGCGTTTGCAGGGTCCCCAGCCCGGATCTCCCAGTGCGCGCCCCCCACCCCCACCCCGCGGGCTGCACTACAATGTCACTCCCCAGAGGTCGTCAGCACACTCCAGCTGCTGTACCGTGAGGCGCCCTGCTTCATTTTCCTGGTGGCCCTTATCCTACTCGGAAGTTCTCTCCCTGCCTGCGTCCGCGCCCCCCCGCCCCCAGCACCCTGAGCAGAGGCCTGTTGTTCCACACCGGGGCGTCCGGGCCCAGCTCTGCGGCGCGCTCACTTACTGAAATAACAAATTAATCAATGGAGATTTGGAGCTGCTCTTTCTAACAAGACCGCTTGTCTTGCTGGCTGTGCCCCAAAGGCAACTCCTTCCCCTTCCATCTTCTTCCCTTTCCAACCAGGCTGACTCCTGTTCAGGCTGAAAGCAGGGAACGGAGAGGAAAGGTCCACTCCGGTCCAGAAACAGACTGCGCGGGGCGGGCTCCCGGCGACAGGCGCGGGCTTGCGCCCTATTTACGTTCATCTGCTTGCGGTTCGACTGGAAGTCGGACTCCTGCGAAAGCCCGACCCACCGAGACATTTCTAAATCAAAGCTACTGATTAAGTTCCAAGGCTTTTGTGCCAAGTTCCCCTGCTCCCAACTTCCCTGGGCTCCGCGAGGACCCCCGTTCCTCCTGGGCTCTCTCGGTGCCCCCGCCCGACCTGGAGCAGCGGGGCAGCCCTGTGGCGCGTGGGCCCGGCCCGGACGGAGACGCCGCCGCCCGCCACACTTCAGGGGCCTTTGTCCCGGCTTCAAGGAGCCGCCCCCTTGGCGAAGGGACAGTGCCGCTGTGTGTTCGGCGGGGGTGGCTGGGCCTGGGTGTGACCGAGCAGGGCCTGGGAATGTAACGCGAGCCGCTGGGGCGGTCCTCTGCCGCAAGGTCGGTGCCCCCTCCAGGCTGGTTAAGCAGCTCCCCGCGGGCCGAGCGGTGCGGATGGGAGCCCGCGTCCCCCACGGGAGGGGACGCAGCACGGGACTGGTTCCCACCCCCGCCTGGCCCGGACAGGACCGCCCGTCCCCCGCCATTGTATGCGGCCGCCCCTCATCGGCCCCCAGCTCCGGGTCTCAGCGCTGCCTCTTCGTCCGCAGTGTTCCCTACTAGTCCCGCAGTGTCCGGCACGGCCGGCTGCGAGCTTGGCCCCCAGCCCCTGCGGCAGGTGCGGCAGCTCATCCCCAAAGCCCGGCCCTGTGCCCCCGCTCCATCTGCCCGGTCTGTGGGAACCCCCATCCCAGCCCGCGACTTCGCCTCACACGACAAATCACGCGGGCTCCCTTACTCTGCACTGCCCTTTACCTGTGTTCTCCCCCTGACTCTCCTCTGAGCGACCCCCGAAAGCCCCCAGCCCCCAGCCTTCCCTCTTCACCTTCTCCCCACCCCCCTGCGGCTCCTCTCCGGCCGCACTGGGATTCCCCGCACCCGGATCCCCATCTTCCCCAACAGACTAACTCCGTGGGGGGGTGGTGAGAAATGCACAGAAACAGACCCTGCAACCCTCCCAATTCCACGCGGGAAAAGTTCCTGGAGTCCCCGCAGCACCTTCCACCCCATCGGCAAGGCTCGCACTCACCGACCCCCGCGGCCTCGCAGCGTCAACGCTCCCACTGGCCCTCGTTCCGAGTCACATCGCTGCAGCGCGGCCGCGGCGCCCGCCCCGCGCACCGGTCTGGTCTCACTGCATCGCCCTCGCGAACCTCTGCCGCGCGGGGCGCCCGCTGGCCCGCCCGCGCTGCTGCAGCCGAGGCCCCGCCCCGCCCCCGCAGGCCCCGCCCCCAGCCTCCGATCCCGTTTCTCCGCCCCGCCTTGCTTACTGTTGTGCACACACCCACCTGCAAAAGCTCCTAGGTCCTGGCACTGAGCACTGAGATGACCCCTTTCCTTGTCCCAAATTCAGGGGCCTCCCGCCCAGTGTGCCATAAACAGCCCAGACGCGCCAGACACGTCCCCAGGTTGATGCAGTTACAGAAAGGCACACATACAGAGGGACAGTGTACCTGGCCCAGGGCTCTCCAGCGTCGGTCCCTCAACAGTAACTGCCTCACAACCTGCCAGCACCGGATCCGAACGCGCCATCGCCCCTGTGTACCGCCGGGAGCACCCACGCGGCTCAGCCTCTTCCACGCAGGTCGAAACGCAGCCCTTTTCCGCCTAGGCGAACCCCCCCACACACACACACACACCCGCCGCCACGTGTCCCTGTCTCTGTGAGTACACTGGCTCGACACCCGCGCTCTTGGCCACCAAACATATCATGTGGCCACACGGTTCACTCCTCTCGTGGGTCCATACACCAGATCCCCACCACCAACGCCGCACGCATAACCCATGTACACTACTCTCCCCGGGCGCATGCACTCCGCAGTCCCAGGTCACCGGCTTTGCGCTCCACAGATGCTCTGGGCACAGCCAGGACACGCGCCCACCCAACAGGTGGGACAGGCTGGAAGGGTCTGGACAGCCTCGCACCTCGACAGAGTCCACCTTGGCTCCTAGTCCACGGTGCTGTCCGAGATGGGCACTGCTCCGACTGGGCCTGGGGAGCAGCCCTCCATGTGCTGCTTCCAAGGGGCTGGTTCCCTAGGTGACCTGCAGACCAGATTGCTTAGGTCTTTCCAAAAAGAAAATCCAGAACTTAATGACCCTCAACTCCAGTTTTTCAGGATGAGACCCTCCTCACCCCATCCCATTCAGGCCTTACAAGACACGACAGGGAAATGACCCTGCGGTTGGGGTGAGGGGTGGGGAAGCAGGAAGCTGGCAGAATAACACAGCATTCCGGGGGTAGTTGCCTGCCCAGATCTGTGGGGACCCCAGACCCTTCCTCATCCATTCCCGGAGCTTGACCCCCAGCCAAGCCAGTCAGGCCATGGAGGCATCCCCAAAAATACCTTATTCATTTAAAGGAAAATTAAAGGAAAGGGCGGAAAAACTATCCGGTTTTATTTGTGAAGGTATCCTCTGTGTCCAGAACAGTGCCTGGCACACAGTAGGTGACCATTAAATAGCTGCTGGCTGACCCTCCTTAGTGTTCCCCTGGACTGGGGAATTGGACAGTGGACGGGCACTTCCATCTGGTGGTACCTAGTGGAACTGACTCCGAGATCTTTTTATTCATTGAGAGACAGAGAGCCACGGATTTACTGTTCCACTGTTTACATTTCTTGGTCGCCTCTTGCATGTGCTCTGACCAGATGGAATCCACTCCGGACCAACTTTAACAACGGAGCCGTCCAGCCAGGCCTCGCATCCTTTTTCTTCCCTTCAGGGTAAGTTCACCTTCGAAGCTTCAACTTCCTCAAATGTAAGAGGAGATAATTTCGGAAGTGCATGTTTGTGGGGCTGTTGTGAAGAGGAAACACGTAGTAGAGAGCTTTCCGCAGAGTCTGGCACGTGAAAAGCCCTTCGTGTGAGTTGATTAATATTAGTTATGGTTATATTCCCTTTCCTGGCTTATTTTAAAGAGGGACTCCAACAGTGATGCCCAGTTCAGCTTTGGGGGATGATACTTTGGGGAAGAAAGAGTGAAAGTAGAGGGAGATACTGAGTGGCAGGTGCATCTTCCCCCACCCCAAAATTTCAAGGACCCATGGGTCATACATATCATCACCATCATCATCATTTACGTCGTTTACTGTGTGCCAGGCACAGCTCTGTTTCCTCTTCTCCCGGCAATGCTCTGGGTCATATACTGTTATTCACCTTGTGTTGCAGATGGAGATAGAGGCCAGGAGGGATTAGTGATTGGCCCGCGATCACATGGTGTGCAGAGCCAGAATACAACTGAGGCTGTTTCTCCCAGCCACCGGCTAAACTAGTGTCCCTTGCTGCACGGTCAGACACCATCACAGGTGAGCCTCGTGTCCCTGGAAGGCGGTTTCAGTCTCCAGCCCTGGAGATAACTGCTCCAGCAATGTCAGGCCCTCAAATGCTCCGTCCACTTTGGGGGAATAAAAACAGAGGTTGCCCTGGTTCTGTTTCTCACCAGAAAATGGAGAGGGCACTGCCCATGCTTTCCACTGACAAATGTAATTGAATGTTGTCTGGCTTTTTGTTTAGTTCCATCTCCCCAACAAGACTGTCTGAGCGCTGTCCCCATCAGAACAATGAGGGAAGTGCTCCATGCCGGACTGTCCTGGACGGCATCATTGAGCACTTTATATGTGACTAGTGTGACCGTGGAACTGAACTTCCAGTTTTACTTACTTTTATTTCATTTAAATTTAAATAGCCCCATGTGGCTAATGGCTATGGAGAGTGTAGCTCTAAGCTCAACAAAAACAGGAAACCATTTCTGTGGTTCATCCTGTACCCATGGCCAGTGTGGGGCATGGTTCATCAGATATTTGTTGACTGAATGAATAATTAAACACCAGCCTTGCTTTTCCCTTTAAAACATGTCTATTAGTATACAAACCCATAAAAAGGATCCTATTTTCTCTGCTAAGTAGATCATCTCCCAAAGGAAGGTGTCACTCGGGGTTCCAGAGTCGCCAAAGCTCGTTACCATGGACCATCGTGCTGTCTCTGCAAGCCCTCCCAGGTGGGGGTCCGCATCTTGCTGTGAGTGGGGCTTGGTAAGGTGGAGGCCTCTCCAAGGCCTCACAGCTTGTGAATGGCAGAGGCAGCTACAGATTTACCCCTCCTGCTCTTCCTACTCCATCCCACTGCCTCAGGTAACATTTATTGGAAACATCAACGTAACTCCACGGAGGAGCGACTTCAAATGGTAGGGATTCAGGCACCTGATAGGATGGTATTTTCAGTACCTCTCCAATTGCCTGATGGTGTCACAAACACCTTCCTTGGGTGTGTGCCTGATCCCATGGTAGCTCATAGACAGACAGGAAGTGGGACCTGCTCTAAGTCAGCTTCAGGTCAGAGGCAGAATGTTTCACTAGAGGCAGGTATGGATAGCACCCCGCATTCGGGAGGGCCTCCTAGTCAACGGAACCCGGCAGCCCTTGCTTGGCAAGGCTGAGAGGGGCTTTGGGGCCCCCACAGACTCTAGTCCTTGACTTTCCCTCTGCAGAGAGAATGGGGTCACTTCAGGACAGTGGCACCTCTAGGTAACGTCCTTGGAGTGAGTGGCCAGGAGTAAGCAGATGTAGGGTACACTGTTTCTACCACTCTATTGTTTGTGTCTGTGACAGATATCATGAGTCGATCATCACACTCTTGCCTGTGTTTAATGCTCTACGTTTGTAACTTTTGCTACCCATTATGTGTTAGAAGTCTAACCACTTCTGCCAAGTGCTCTCAGTTGTTCAAGTCCCCAGCAGGGTGCCTTATATGTGTCCATAGACCAATGTGTCAGCTGCCTGCCCTTCCTTTCCACTGCCGACTCCTGCAGGTCTTTGTCTGTGGTCCACACAACTGCTTGGAGAAGCCTCATCATGGCCGGTGGTTTCCTGTGAAGCCACCACGGGGACCCTCTCCCAAAGCCCCCAATGCTGTCAGTTAGGAAACACTCAAGTAACAGCACAAAACATGGTCTAAACAATAGGGAGCTGTGTTAGCACACGAGGGGGACCCATCCCAAAATATACCTTTTGGGATATTGATTTTAAGCTGGTTATTAAGGGGGAAAAAAGACTCAGGAAGAACCCATGGCCCTTTATCTGCCTAAAGGAATTCAGACAGAGGACCTGCCCCAGGAAGGGGGCTATCACACAGTAGCTCTGCCGGAACACGAACTAGTGTGGCAGGGAGGAACCTAGCAAAGCCCGTCTGTCAGACCTCTCTGTGCTCATAGTTAACGGCAGCCCAGCAGACATTCACTCCCCAAACATCTGCTTCTCCATCTTCACGGGAATTGTCTTCCTGCCCCTTGAGGTCCCAAACCACAACCACCTTCTCATTAGCTTCTGAGTAGCCTGTGAACCTCTACTGTGTGCGCCTCCTCGGGTTCCATATGGCACCCCCTCATCTGCACCAGTAACAGACTTTGGACATTTTCTCCTGTTAATCTGTCTCCTGTTCATTTGATGACTAGCCTCGCCAGAAGAACTCAGAAGGTGGGAAGGAAGTTGTATTTTTGCCCCCAACCCAACTGGAAGTAGGGATGTGGAGGTCTGCAAGATCAAACTCCTTTTATAACAGCACTAAAATCTCATTTGCCGTTTTCACTTCTTCTCTCTCATGCACGGTGGCATCTTCCTGCAGACTTGAGATGTGACATCATCAGGGTGAGTGCAGCCATCCATCATGTCCGTCAGTACAGAGACGTCCAGAAAGGCAAGCTGTCACTGTGCTTTCAAGTGCTTTTTGTTTGGGGAAATACAGTTATTTTTCATAAAAAGATGTGATGTTAATGGGTAATGAGTTGATTATTATTATGTTTAGATGAATAAATGAAACTTTAAAAAATGTCTTGGCTTTCATTTAAAATGTGGTGAATATTGGTAGGTATAACCCACCTAAACAAAAGTTCTTTGAGGTCTTCTAGCAATTTTAAAAGGGGTTCCAAGACTATAAAGTTTGAGAACCACTGATCAGGGCACATTTATCTAGAACCATCTCTCCAAAAAAAAAAAAAAAAAAGAGCAAACAGTTCTATATTTCTGGTGCCAAGCACTGTTCTAAACACTGCGCGCACACACACACACACACACACACACACAGATGTTTGATTACTTTTCTAACCCCTGTGACAGTCCTATGAGG